GAGATTTTAGGAAAATTAGAATCTTTCGGAAAAAACTCTAACTAAAATTATCTGCCAACCTAATATTTGAGCAATTAATTTCCGTCATAATTCTGTAAGAGGATGTTCCATAAGTAGTCCTTTAGCACTTAGGTAAAACTGATGATGGCTGAATAAACAGGAAAGAACTTCTTCGAGAAAACGACATACCATGTGTCCTCCTTCTCATGGCTTCTTTCTTGCTGGACAACTGTGACAATCAGAAGAAGTGCGAGTCCTACAGTTCCCATCATGATGTACAGTTGTGTTCCAGTTATCAGAGCTCCGTACATATTATCAATAAAGTGACTTCTACAAGTATGTAGTTTTTTCCATTACAAGCCAAATCTAACGTTCTACTCACATGTCACCGTAAGTGTCCAGCGCTAAAAAAGTTTCTCCGACGTTATTACTTACGGTCCATAGTTTCATTATCGTTGATAATGAAAGTGGAACCATAAGAATGGTCACATATGCTTTGGTGAAATCTTCACTGTCTACAAAATGGTTGACAATCCAAAAGAAGGAGACCATCAATAGTTCGATGCTGGCAAAGATGATACCAGGGAATTCTGCAAGATTAGCTCGAAGGCCTACAGATGCTCATTTCAAAGCCGTAAAGTTCGGCCTTCCTTTGCCCTTATTTTGTGTAATTATCACAACTGTTTATATAACTCAACTCACTGAAATATAGGAACTGCTCTGTTTGATGTAGACTTGATTGACATACTTCCGTTGGTTTATATACGCAGTACAAAGAAGGTACGAAGCTCATATCTGGCTATATGTAACTCTACAAACACTATGCAGCGAAGGTGCTTTTCATGCAAGACAATGAATAAGTTTCAATGCTCAATGAAAAGTTTTTTCACTTCTGTATTGCAGAAAAAATTCAAATGCTTCATATTCAAGGAAAGTCAGAGACGAACAGAGCAGCATCATGAAAATATGGAGGTAAAACATCTTTTCTTTCATCCTACTAAAAAAGTTCCACACAATTTCCTGCGACCATCCCAAGTGGAAAGTCATTTTCCTTTGCCTAAGCCTCCTCTTTATCAAGCTTGATCACAGTCAAAATTTCCCTTATCATGAATGACTTATCACTACATGTATTTTCTATACATGTCAGTTAGAAGGGGCACAACGACGGATTAACTATTCCACCCCTTAGACCGAGGTGATCCAACTCTACAGGCAGGCAGAAAACGTGTATCCTTTTTCAGGTGTCCTCCAACTTCAGGAAAACAATAAAGCATGCTTCTCCCCGGAGAAAGTATGCTTATTCAAAATGAGAAATATTATATAGTATGCATCACATTAGCTTGGCAAATAAATAACTCCGTTTTTACTTTCACTCTCAAAGTTGTATACAAATTCATGTAAATGTTATTTCACTGGAGTTTTTCATGAGAGAGTAGCCTCAAGCCTCTACTCTCCCATACCCGATATTCAAGATTATCGGTCAACAGTAAATGGCAATCATGCTCTTATATGGTTAAACTTCCAGAAGATCACTTTTTGATTCTATAAGTTTTGCTCGCAGTCTGTAATGAGTGCACAGACGAGTGATTTGGTGATCAAATACACACAACCCTTGGCTACATGGTGAACTACATTGGAGTTCGTGACCTGCTGTTTGTGAATTATTACAGGGCACGTGGAAGTCAGTTTCTGGGCAATCCAGATCGCTTGAATCGACCATCTATGGTTGGGCAAATGGTTAGAAATTTGCTTTTTGTGTGCCATTTGTACATTCTATGCCCAACTTCATTCAGGTTTTTAAAGTATGATTTTTCGAAAATTTGACAAAAAACTTCTTTTTCCTGCAACATTTCGTCAAAGAAAAATTTTCGAAAAATGCTGAATCAAATATTGAACTCTCATTGGCTTTCTTTCAAATGGTCCGAATGTTCATACGTAAAAGCATCTTTGCAAAAAGTCAAAAATGACGAGTTCATTATAACATAATTTTAGCCAACCTAATGATTATTGGAGTTATAGCAAAGCTTCGAGCTTTTGCTTTGAAATATTAGGTTGTCAAGAAAATAATGTCGTTTTTTATTTGCTTGCTTTAAAAAGCAACCAGACTCAATCCAAGAAAAGGGATAGAGCAAAGCAAGCTCTACAAGAAGGCATTCATAACTTTGCGCCAAGCTCGATCCACCGAGAGTTCGAACTCAAAATCTAAGGATTTCCAGATGCCCAAAAAATCGAAAAAAATCAGATCTTCGTCCAAATAATTTCTACGGACCTCCCACTCACACACTTCAGTAATTCCGATATCAGACACTCATATGTGCAGTTGCTGTAATTTTTCCTTGATTAGAAACTAAGAAAACGAAAAATTCCTTGATATTCTCAAAACAATGCTGAGCCGATCTTGCATATGTAGGTTCTATTATATACTACAAGCCTAGGTAAGCATAACTGTAGATTTTCAGCTATTTCGAGCTATACTTTTAGAGAAATGTCGATTTTAGCACTGAAACTGAAAAGAAAAAATTTGAATTCGATATTTTTCGAAAACTACCTCTTGGAATGGGCTGAAAATCTACAGTTATACTTACCTAGGCTTGTAGTATAGAACTACATATGCAAGAACGGCTCAGCATTGCTCTGAGAATATCAAGAAAATTTTCGTATTTTCGGTTCCTCGTCAAGGAAAAAATACAGCAACTGCACATATGGATATCAGATATTGAAAGTATTGACGTGTGCGAGTTGGAAGTCCGTAAATTATTTGGACGAAGGTCTGATTTTTTTTTTGTTTTTTTGGGTATTTGGAAATCCTTAGATTTTGAGTTCGAACTCTCGGTGGATCGAGCTTGGCGCAAAATTATGAATGCCATCTTGTAGAGCATGCTTTGCTCTATCAAACCGTGCCCCTTGCCCTTTGTTGGGTTGAGTCTATTTGCTTTGTTAAAGCAAGCAAATAAAAACCGACATTATTTTCTTGACAACCTAATAATATCTGTGCAAGGAATGTGGTAAGGATCATATGAAAAAGATAAGCTGCAAATTGTTAACAGACTTTATTAACGCTTTGTTGAGTTGATACCTTTCTAGTACGCAGCTGTGGATAACCACACAGATACAAGATTTTCGCAAGATTTACGTGATATTTGTAAGATTCGATAATCAACGATACTAATGCTACATCTTTTGAATGCAGTAAGTTAGAGCTTATTGCCCAGAGATCGTCATAAGTTTGGTGGTTAAGGATGAACAGAAAAGTAACTGTTCTAGAATTTCGAGTAGGTTCGTATTCGACTGCAACTTACGATGATGTAATTGGCTGGTGAATGACATTTTAGAGCTGACGAGAATCAGGTGTTGCACATATCAAAGGTCAAGAAGCAGATTTGAGCAAAAGTCATCTTAGCAGATGTTTTCTAGAGCAATCTCGTTGTCAACTAATTTTCTGAAGTTTTTTCCAAGAGATCAGGAGCTTGCGCACACATATCAGAATCATATAAAGCGGTGACAATGTCCTTCATTGCCATTCTTACAGATGAAAGACTGAAAAAGCAGCAAACTTACATTTTTGCTTGCTTTCGCCATCTCTTTCCCTTTTTCTTTTTCCCGTTCACAATTTTCAAGGGGCACCGGAATTCTCACGATAGCAAGCCAAAAGAGCGATGCATTGGAAGAGGAAGTCGGAAAGTTGCAAACAATATTTGGATTCTTAAGCGTTTTGGTTCTTGATGTGATCATCAAAAAATGGATTCCCCTCCAAATCGCTTAGAAACTCAAAAGTGATTATAAGAAATCATGAATATTGGATTGCTTCAAATGTTCTACGTTTTCAAGGTTCAAGTTTGACTCCCCTTAACTCTTCCTAGAATATATAAATAAATACAAAAGGGTGTTACAATCTACAAAACTTTGCAAATCCATGCATATCAAAAGTTCTAAAGCAAAAATCTGCAAACATCCTTTTTTAAGAGCCTTCACTTTAGGCAACCATAACCTAATTTGGAAGTAGTCGAATTCCATAACCAATGCATTGTATACCCAGTAGTCGGCCGAGCAGCATCGCTAAGCTTGGATCCGCTAAATTTTTCAAAAAAATTTGCACAAATTGAGAAAGCTCACTCATTTCACAGTTCTCTGAGATATTAAAATGCACTTTCCTGGGGTTCCTGATTTTTTTTTCGCTAATGAATTACGAAAAATATCTCATTTTTCAATCATAAATTTTCTAGGTCTAATCTCACTATATGCATAAAGCGAAAGTTCCGTTATTGCATTGTGCTTATTTCTATGCGACTTATGAGGACCCCAACAACAGATCATGTTTATGCTAATCGACTGAAAATACCAAAATCTTCCAAATTTCTCAAGAGGCATTCTGTAGCACAAATCCCCACAGTAATTACGTTTGAATAGAAACAAAATTACATGTGTTACGTTTCCACTCCGTTTCGTTATTTCCCTTGATCGGAGTATGACTTGATCTGTAAGTCTTCCGCGGAACTTCTTGGTGATGAAGTAAGAATCATCAGGTAAAAAGTCGAAAATTAGTAATATTTGCATCATCACTTGTTTCTAAACAAAATTCCTCCTGTGGGTGCAGATACCACGGCAATAAGGCAGAAATGAAAATTTCTACTGTTTTGCTATTTTTTCAAGGAAATAGAGGATGAAATAAGTTCCATAAAAATGTATGTTTGAAAAACTAGGAGAAAAAACTCTTGCTGATACAAGCAAAAACAATGAAAATCGTTTTGTTCCCCAAAAGCATATTTAAGAGTTACAAAAAAGAGTAGAACTTTGAACAACCCATTTTCTCATATTCGATAGCGTTTTTGCCTAAAAGTGATAGTCCAAACAAGGTCTTAATCAGCTGCTGCTCAATATTTTCTTAGCCCCGAGTTAGTGTTTGATTGCAAAGTTCTTCGCAAAAAACCAATTACATGGCTTTATATCGTGAGATTATACCAGCAAGAACATGAAAGAAAGGATGAATATTTACCAAAGAATAAAACGCAAAGTCAACAAAAAGGAAATCTACAATCACTGTTACATGCTGTGCTGCTCTAGAATAATATATAATACAATAGGCAACAATTCAAATAAAAACTGTACAAAGGATGAGTATCATCAAGCGGTGCTGGTCTGTTGCATCTGTAGGAGCATCTTTGCTACGGGAGCCTGAAAGAGCAAAGTTCGAATTGTTGATATTATCAGCGGCATATAATTGCTAATGAGGGTGGAAGCAGAGGCAAGCGAACGTTGCCAAGGTGTTCTATACATTATTTCTATCATAACTCCGTGCTCAAATTGGGTCCTCACTAGGGCAGTCCAACTCAAATCGAAGCTCCTGGCTTCCATGTGAGTGTTGAGCAATTTTTATTCCATAAAGTGACCAAGCGGTAGCTCATATGGTTCACTATCAAGATCAAGCGATTTAAGCCTAAAATCCTTGATACCGTGATCTTCTCCAGCTAGCGGACCAATCACTGCTCAAAACAGTAATGCAGAAGTTTGGATTTTTTGGCAACGAAAGAGTTATATGAGCTCCTGCTGATGTTTTTCTAGACAAGGCTCCCCGATCAGTATCCACATGAGAAGAATATTTCCAATTTCATTTTTTTACGCGGAGCACGCCTCTGAGTGAGAGCATAAAATGAAGTAACAAATTTTCTCATATGTTGGTTTTGATTTCCACCCTACTGCTTTCAAGTGTGTGAGTAAACCTAACCAACTAACCGCCTGTTGATAGTTACGGTTGGTTTACGATGGATATTCGCTCAGTTTCGCATCCGAGCGTCCTTACTATTTCCTCTTCTCCTCTTTCCTCTACCCCACCCCCACCCCCTAGAAAGTTCTTCTGATCTTTCAAGAAAACTTTCTGATGACTTAGTGGATCTAGAGATGACGAGAGGTACCGAGATATGGTTTTTAAAATGACAGATCTTACTTAGAAATGATATTCAGCTAGAATATTTCTCAGAAAGACGGCTGCAATCTATGAAACACCTTACTCCAATCAAAAGCTCACCTGTCCATTTCTGATTAGTGCGTCGGTCATAGGTCCTACCCAATGGTTTTTCGTCTTTAGTAAACAGATTAATGCATCTACTTGAGCTTCAGTGGATTCCTGGAAATAACTGGGTATGAATCAGATTTTCAGCTGTCTCAATCTTACAGAGCCAATTTGAGGTCAAAGATATAAGCTTAAGTGATTTAGTTTTGCATTGTAAGCTCTAATTAGACGGAAGTACTGGCAGAACGAAGTTCTGCTGAACCGCTGCAAATTTGGCTTGTTCTGCGGAAGTTCCGGTGGATAGTCTGAGAAAGTGAATTACCTGTCTTCAACACTTTTATTTTGTGGTGATGTTTGTGCAACACCACAAAAAAATAAACAAACCCTAAAAAAGTTTATTCTACTACGCAATTCCCGATGTGTTAGCGCCGGTCCATTCATCGCACAATGGCGGATTATCACGATTTTTTAGGGCAGTTCATTCGCCGGATTGTATGTCTGCGACAAGTGCAGCTAATTTCTAATATGAGAGACAATTATTCGACCTTATTTTGACCTTTTTGTGAAATTAGCTGCAATGCTGCAATATTTATAATAGTTCTCAATATTAGTACAACAAATGTTGACAGACTTTTTTTGCAGTCAGGAAAGAAGATTGGATGCAAATTTACAGAAAATTTTGAGAAACAGCAAAGATTTTTTTTTCTTGTGAGTTTGTCAAAGGGCACTCCCATTTATTGTAGAGTATTTTTCTGCGGTTGATTTTTGAATAAAATGGAGTCTAAGCGATAAATGATTTAGGTCTATCATATCATATAAGGAAACCAAAAACAATGAAAAAGAGATTATGGTAATTAGAGATTTCTGAGATGAGGTAGAATAAAAAAATATGATAAAAAAATATGACTAAATAGCAGAAGTTCTTGCTCTATGATTATAGTTTTTTCTTTGAGGTCAAAGATCACAATTAGTAATGACTACGAAACTTTGTTAATTTTTCGTTGCGTTGTGATGAATTTGCTGAAAACCAGTCGTTTTTTTTGGAATTCAATGCAATATTTGATTTTTAACCTTATTACTGCCGAGATTATCATATCTTATTTTTACCACAAACTTCTCATTTTTGACTCCGCAACAATAAAAACATCGAATTTTTTCATTTCTGTGCTGAGTGCTTTTTTTCAAAATAAAAATGAAAGCAAAAAAGCAACCTTAGCATAGACTGCTCCCATCTCATATGACTTCAGTACATTCCTAGCGACAAGAATTGGTACCAAATCTTTCAGATTCATTGTTTCCAGTGTTGAACGAAGGCGATCAAGATTATCTGCCTGCAAAGGTCAAATATCAGACCGTTTCAACGTGGACCTCCCACCATGAAAATCACGTTGACCCACCTGTTCAGCCCGGATATCGGCAAGACTGCGTGAACACGAGATTGACATCGTTGTGAAGAAGTGAGTGCGGTGCGATTGGGGTGTGTGGGAAAAAACTCTGAAGAAACTAGATAATAAGCAAGGGTTAAAGCTGTAGAGTGACGCGAAACGATGCACGCAAACATCCGTGTTGGAATGTGGAAATTGGAGGAAAAATCACAAAGCGAAACAAATTTTTGAGCAAATGCAGCAAGAAAAATTTTTGTGACGACATACGAAATTCAAGGTTTAAGCAAAGAGAATGAGAAGAACTTGGGCTCAGAAACAATATGTAACATTCAAACCTTTTGTGGAAGATATGCGCAGATACAAAAATTACATATTACAACAAATATCCGATTTTATGTGCCGCAAGATAATTGCAGAGGAACGGAAAGAAGGCTGGTCATGAAAAATGGAAAAAGTTTGAGCAACGTATAAAAATTTGCAAATGTCTTCAACCTCCTCGGATGACATATGCACTGCAGCAAAATAATTGCTTTTGTATACGAAAACTATGTTAATCTTCGCCAGAAAAAAGTAGAAAATAGGGTAAGAAGGAACGCAATCTGTCCAGGGACAAATGAGCGAGCATTGAGGTCAAAAATGAGGAAGATACTTGCGCATTTCGAGGCGGTAAAATTGATGAGGTCAAAAATGAGGTTATGCGAAGTCATTCAAAGTTTATTTATTCATTTTTAGAGGCTTGCCACAGTCTAAGTTAATAAAAATGATCTAATTATCAAATATCGATGCCCAATTTAAGGCACATCAGGCAAATTTGAAAAAATGTAAGAATCAAAGTCAAGAGATAAAATTACATAATCCTAAGCTCAGGAAATAAGGTGGTTACTTGTGCTGTAGAAGAGGGTTATATTGAATCAGTTTGTTAAAGCTTTAGAGAAGTTGTAAATTTATCCATTCAATTACTTACAACTGAGCCCAGAATTCGCTTGGAAGAGACGGCCGACGTATTAATCTTGACGAGATCCGGGAAATTAGACTTTGTTCAAAATGATTTTTTCGTGATCGGAGTTCGACATTTGGAAAGGAAATTTTACGAGGATTCGGAAAAGCGTCAAATGTTCAGAATTTAGCTTCATTCAAGGGGTTTTCATTGAATCGCCGCGACGGTTTGCAGGGGTAATTCACTGAAAACCCTCTCTACAAAAGTGAATTCCTTTTGAATCTCATATTTCCTTTTCGAATATCATAATCCGATCGCTTGAAAATCATTGAACAAAAATATATTTCCGAATTTCGTCAAGATTAATACGTCGAAGGCCCTTTTTTCCACCCGAATTAGAAGCTCAGTTGTATTTATTTTCCGGAGCGTCGAAGGAGGGCCATAACGCAACCCAATGAAATTAATTGCAAATAATAGTACCCAAAATTAGGATAAGGTAATTATGCAAATTGTAGAAATAATAATTGTAGACATCATCATACAAACAAATAACCTTATATAGTCTCAGTGGAACGTGAACGATCACTTCTAAAACCTGTCAAAACTAGAGCACTAGACCAACTTTCCTTTTTAAGAAAGCAGCAATAGGCTTCAAGTCTGAAACATAAGAAATAGAAAAGGAAAACAAAGCTGTTCATTTTCGAGAAGGAACAAATAACTTTTCCACAGAAAACCATTTCGACAAAACCTATCCCAACATGATACGGCAAGCGCAATTTCCCTTCTCTTCGCCCCGTCGTCTCGATGTGAATATGAAAAACTCGGAGCAAGAGGGGCACTTGCACAGAATGAGGCCAAGTGTTAATAAGCTTGGCGTTCGCCTCGCCTTTCAAAGTGCAAGAACAGAGCATTTAGCGCAGCGGGAACATCTATTCCAATCCAAGTCGCCTTTCTACCTTAATTGCAGCAATCGACCGGGGCAAATAAGCGTATCCCGAACATGATCTTGGGAGAATCGGGAACTTTGAACTTTTAAGAAAAAACGAAGCCTCCTTAGAACTTTGGATGGTTGGACTTGTGGTTGGGCTTTCAAAGTGTTGTCAGTCTTCATAAATCTGTATCTTGTAAAATTCTAGAGTCATACTTATGTAAGATGCATTCTAAGTCTTCGAAGCTTCCTGGGGGAACTCCTGATGAAGGGACATCAAGTCCGGGGGTACCCAGGAAGTCGCATTACCAACCTAGTTCTTAGCCCCGAAACCGGAATGCAAAAAAAGATTTTTTATCATTACCGCATTAGCTATCTTTCCTGGAGAACATCTTTTGCTGTCATCCTTATAAGAGTTTTTTTTTATTTCGGTTAGTACAGCTCTTTCGAACTTGCACCTTCTTCGTGTATTTTATGATAGATTCCAATGACCAAATGGACAATCAGACTTGAAAAAAGTGAAGAGAAAAACCATAAAACTGCAATGTTCGCTGGTGGAATCGATGTTTTACAAGAGAAATGAAGCAAAACATTCTCTTTCTGAGCTGGTCGAACGAAATGATAAAGAGTTTGCCAGTTTGCGAACAGAATTGCTTGTTTTCAGTTTTACAACTTTCTCAATGGCATAATTAGCCTATAAACCAACCAATGCAAACCGCCATTTTTGATGTCAATTCGTGTAGATTCGAAAAACATTTATACTGGCTCATAAGTATTTTCCAACGCTATCATCCTTCAATAGAAAACCTTACTTGTTACTTATTCCGACTAATTTCGAAGAAAGTATAAGAGCCGAATGCATTTTCATAAGTAGTTACCTTAGCATTGTGAAGACAGAGACATCTCATAACGTTGAACAAAACTCAGTGATCGTCAGGAGATTAGAAAGTGATTCAACGGATTCTGCTATCCTGGTATAAAATAGGTGGTAATAAGAACGTAAAGTGAAAGCAAATATTCGCAGATAGTTCCCTTATACCGCCAAATTGTAGAGTTCTACAAAAAATTTCCTTATGGTTAATTATACAGATGTAAAAAGCCCTTGGAGGAATCTGTCAAACTTTGGCTTGCGGCCAAAAATTGATAGACTGCAAGAATATTCTGAAAGCATGAGCAAGTAAAAGACTTTCTTTTACGAAAAAGCGTTCAAAGCGCTAAATTCATGGTCAACATTTGTGTACTGCAAAAACTGCTGGCCTTCGTTTTGAAATTATTACCTCAAGTTTCGGAAAATATCCAAATGAATGAGCATGCTAACCAGAATGCTTATGGCGTATGGCTACATTCCTGATGGATTTACATAATCGGATTTGCAGCAACAACAACCCAAAACGTTGAGGATACGCAGAAAACAGGAAATTACATCATAATTCCTAATCGACTACTTGTTCCGCAAAGCTGGCTGGCAAGAAAAACAAGCAGCGGAAGTGTAAATATGGGCTGCGTTTTGGATGGGAAGCCCTAAATGCCCAGTCATGTAAGTAAATGTGTCCATGGGAGCGCAAATCAGAAAATTCAGGACGAAATGGGAAATTTGCTCCACAGAAAATTTTGAATAGTTTCCGGTCACCCAAACGTACTGTGTCTCTGCTTCAAAAATGAACACAGAGAGCACACTACGTTTGGTTCCGAAAACTATTTATAATTTTCTGCAGAGCAAATTTCAAAAATGAACAACTCGCCTTTAGTCCGTGAATGCTATACATTGAAAGGATTCTTATATACAAAGATTATTATGCTACTTGCTAAGTTGGGGCATAAGTTCTGTTAATTTGAGATGAAACAATTTTAGCCTTATCAAAAGTTTACTTGCTGATTTTATTTCTATTAGTTTAAACCAAATCTTTCAAACATTCTAATTGCTTATTTTCTACTTGTGGTGTTTAATCATAAGGTTGTCCCATAAGTTCCGTCCGTTTGGTTTTCAATCTCGCAATAAATAGCAAAAACATGAAAATCTTCGATTTCTCAATTTCTGACCAAGGAAAAGATACGTCAACGGCGTACATAAGTGTCTTAAATGGATAGTGGTTATGCGAGCAAGTGGGAATTTTTGTAGGATTTTTTTAAACGGAGTTACGATTTTTTTCTCGATTTTTCGGGCAGTTGAATCTTTTTAGTTTTCGCCTTGAAACTCGAGATGATTCAGAACTAGTGCAAAAGCGAGGCAGCCTTCTTGTAAAGCTTGCTATGCTCTATCGAATGGTACCTTGAAACCTACCTAGAAACAAAAAGTTCATGATTTATTGCGATTGAAAATCAAAACGGATGGAACTTATAAGAAAACCTGATACATTTCATGTATTCCGTTCTGAAAAATAATTCGAAAAAAGAAATTTGAAAATCACACTTTTTGCAGAGAGACAAAATTAGCACAAATTCATCTAACTAAAAATGACTAACTCATACTTGAAGTAAAAGTAAAAGTAGACATTACTAGACTTTCCAGCATTTTCAGAGATTGCTAATCAAAAAATCAATTATTGAGGGTTTGTGATCAGTGCGTTTCATTGTGTGATGAAGTAGAGATTTCATGAAGTATTTCAAAAACTTTTAGGTGGATTATATCAAAATATTCAAAAATTTTGTGATAGATTTTAACAATTCCTTCTAGCAAATATAAACCTCTGAACAGCCTAAAAGAAGATGTACTGGCCAGTTATCGAGAAAATTTAATAAAAAAAGAGGTAAGGAAAAAATTTGTGAAGCAAATGAGGGTGTGATCGAAATGGCTAAAAATATTTTGACGACTACAGAAGAACAATAATGAAACACAACCAAGATCGTGACTGACTGTCAACATGGCATGCTGTTCCAATATCTTAAGATTTTATTTTTCCCATTTGGAGTTGGTATCCATAGCAACATAGCAATGAAAAAAGTAAAACAAGAAGATTCATGCTTACTGCATTCCTTCTAGCATGCGTGCTAACTAAAGATTTGCAGTAGTATAGGATTACCATTATGAATTTTCAGAATGCAACGCCTGGAACGCATGGAACGGACATTGAGTACATTGGAAAGCTGAAAAACTATTACAGCAGAAATATACATACACAACTCGGGATCGGTACGTATAGTCTAAGGGATTGTCGGAGGAAAAAATGTATCGTTCAAGTAGAGCAGTTCATCGAACCGCATCAAACAAAGCTTCAATCTTGCACAGCTCCTCATAAACACCAAAGG